ACTGCAGGAGAGACTACAAAACAAGTCAGCCCACAGGTGTGCTTTGTTTAGCCAACAGAATCTTTTTTTGGAATTATTAACATTTAAAAATGATAAAATGTTTACATAACAATCCAGATCCCTAGATCTGACCGAGCAGGGCCTCACATTCTCACTCGGGAATAGCCACGTTGAGAAAGAGCTCAACTCTAGCTGGGGCATCTGGTCTACCAGCTCACCACAGTTCCCCCACTCCCTGTCACCTCCCATGCTGAGGTTCATTGTCTGTTTCTATTGATCAGCTTCCCCCCACAGTTGCTTCTCTCATAATGAAAGGAAATATTTGGGACCTGTATCTCGTATCAAATGAGAAGACAGGCCTCGAGGCTGGCGTGTGTTTCAGGAAAGTTTTCTTACTCACAGGCCACACCCCTCATTTACTGTCATTGCCAGCCTGGCTCCTGTGGGTGCCTGCCTTTGCGGGCCCCTGCCCACACCTGGGAGGACACAGTGTGCTACGGCTTGTCAGCACAGTCCCAGGTTCAATACTCCTGGGGCAAAACCTCCTTTGAAAAAATGAGTACACTTCCTCGAGTTCAGTGAATTCACCTTGGACTTGTTCAAGCGGCAGCTGGACTTGTTCATGTGCTACTTTGCCTCCATGAAAAGGAGTTTTGTAATCTCCCTAGTGGTGTGCATTCTAAGGCCTCTTGAACTCTTTCCAAAAGAAAGAGTTTGATGTGTGTGTATGTTTGTGTGTGTGTGTGTGTTTCATTGTGCCCTCAGCGCTTCTCGGCCTATGGCACCTTTCTCTTCTGAAAGGCTGGCTCCTGCGCAGTCCCCTATCCCCCATGTCCTCCCCTCCAACCCCCGGCCTGGGCCTCCCAACCTGAGATGCTGACAATCCCTGTCATGAAAGGCCGGAGCAAAACTGTGGCTTCCTTCCCTCCACTGAAATCGCATCGTTGTTTAAAATCACCAGTGGAGCCCTGGCCCTCCATTCCCTACCTTCCTTTCCCTCCTGGTTCGCTGGGTTAGTGCTCTGCCTTCTGCCCCAAAGTGTGGCTGGCCATCTTTGGTGTGGCTGTCATCACACACATCCCCTTGAATGACAAGGGGCCCCCTTGGCCATTTCCTTCTAACGGAGAGCGCCACAATGCAGGCCGACTCGCTGTCTTCCGAGACCTCGGGTGGATCTCACGTATTCTGAAGATACGCCTCCTGGGAGGGTCCCGCCCGATGTACTTCCGGCTCCTTAAACCCCAATGCTTAACTGGGAATAATTTATTTGTTATAGATAACTTTTTAAGTAGCATTGTATTTCCTACACTTTTTTAAATAAACAAATGAACAATAACAACAAAAGGGCATCAGGTTGTTTAAATGCTTTGGCTGTTTGTCCCTGGTTCCCTGGGGCAGGCTCACATGGGCTCAGCAGATGCCAGTACAGGAAGCTGGGCTGTGGCTGCCTGTGGGTCACTCAGAGGCCAGAGCTTGTCCTGTCCTGTTCTTGTTGAGGCCACGGTGAGCCGCTCTGTGTGGCCACTCCCCAAACCTGACCCCCATAGAGGCCTGGGGCCACCCTCGGTGCTGACTGCACTTGAGGTGTAAGCCCAGTGCAGGTCACCAGCCACCAGAGCAGAAGTAAAGGGAGGGTGGTGGGAGAGGGGAGCTCCAGGTGGGCCCCCACCACCCACCAGGCCCTGGGAGAGGAGGATGGATGTTGCTGTATGACCACCCAAACCTCAGCTCATGAATGTGATGTGAGTTAAGGTTCCTCATCCTTGGACCGCGTTAAGGGGCTTCACAGTGGGGTGGCTGGCTTCTAAGAGCGAGTGTTCCCAGCTTTAGGGAGTCTGAGCTGCTGGTATTTAGTCTATGGGGGTCTTTAGTCTGTGGGCGCATCAGTCGGCCCACCCAGGCTTAATGGGAGGAAGCAAAGCCGCCACATCTCGGTGGGAGAGGGGTGAAAGAATTTGCAGCTCAGCTGCCTTTCTTTAAAATTATTTTTTTTAAGTATTTTTATTGATTTGGGAGAGGGAGAGAGAGAGAAACATCAATGATGAGAGAATCATTGATCGGCTGCCTCCTGCACGCCCCACACTGGGGGTCAAGCCCACAACCCAGGCATGTGCCCTGACCGGGAATCGAACCATGACCTCCTGGTTCATAGGCCGACCCTCAACCACTGAGCCACGCCGCTGGGCTGCAGCCGCCTTTAGTACACTACAGCGGGGCTGGGAAGATCAGAGCCCGGTGTCTAAGGCCTTGGACAGCACTGACCATGTTTGCCTCTGGGCCACATCCCCCCTCTTACTGCCCCTTGTCCCAGATCCTGTACTTGATCCCCAAGCTTCAGTCTTTGGGCTTCTGGCCTTTTATCTCTGCTCACTGCCCCATGGGGTTCCACTAACGCTACACGTCCTGGCTGATAGCTACCTGGGCGCCAGCTGTACGTTTTCACTACCTGGAGGGTTTCCCACTCACATCGCCCAGGTACCCCCACCTGTGCCACCTCTGGGCTTTGTGGAGGCAGCTCCTCCCCAGGTCAGGAGTGTGCGCTGCCCAGCCCTCCCCCCAGCTCCTCCGGCCTTCAGACCATGCCTCTGAGGGACTCCTGCCCCTAAGAAGAGGGGTCATACTTTACACCTGCGTGGTGTACCCTCAGCCAAGCAAACAGCTCCCCGCCCCAGGGCCAGCTGCTCTGTTTGGGGGTCCCCGGCTGCTTTGGGGCTTCAGAGGTGTGAGCCTCCACCTCAGCCCCACTGGCCCCCTCCTTGCCTCTGGCCGATCCTGTAAGTTACAAGGTGGAGCCCCTACAGCCTCTTCCCCAGCCTGGGAGGAAAGTGTTAACCGAAACAGAGTAATAAGGAACAAAGTGCATTTATTGGAGTCAAGGTTTGTGCTCTGAAGAGAACAAAACGGATTTATAAAGGCAAACCCCACAGTGTGGTTTCCAAGCTCCTGCCTTCCCCTTCCCCCTCATCTTTCCCCACAGGCGGCATCTCCTAAACTCTGAGGGTCCCTCCCAGGAGACTTGCAACCAGGGAGCAATGGGCGGCAGCAGCTCGTCCCAGGCTAAACCCATGAACCTGACCCCAAGGCCCCTTTTCTCTGGCTTCCCATGAGCCAAAGCAGCCTCATCTCGCTCCTGTGGCTGCTTCTATCCTAAGCCCTTTCTTGCTTCACTGTCCCCAGCTTTAATAAACTGAACTCTCAAAGTCACCTGGATTCGCATTGTGAACTCTCTCCTGTACAAGGTCAGGAACCCACACACCACCTGCCGGCCATAAGCAGGCCTGATCCGCACCCACCCGTCCCCTTGCCAGTAACAAAGGGACCGGACTGTGCTCGGACCCTAATCCTAGGGACTGGGGTGGTGAGGGGGTCCGGCTGCTCCAGGACCCTAATCCTAGGGGCTGGGGTGATGAGGGGGTCCGGCTGCTCCCTGGAGCTCGGTCGAGAAACGCCTGCCAGTGGGAAGGGCTACTCAGAAAATCATTTTATGGTTGTTTTGTAATTGGAGGGGGAAATATATTTTTAGCCGTAATCCATGTCTACAGCCCCTTGGGGGTGAGTGGAGGAGCCACTGGGCCTGGGACTTGGACTCAGCGGGGACTTTGGACCTGAGCTGGCTCCCTGGGTCTCAGGAGACCAGCAGGGGCCAATTCTATTCACAATCCTTTCTTTTCACACCCCACTAATTGCTTGGCTGCCAGCCACCTGCAGGGCCACACGTAGCCTGTTGGGAGCTGGTTTGCAGGCTGAGCAGGAGGCAGAGGCGGAATCCTTTGCTATTTCTGGGTTAAGTCTCTTTCCCCACCTTCCACCTCAGGACAGCCCTTCAACCCTCTACCAGCACTGCTCCCCCACCCACACCCCTGGGGGCTGCAGCCACCCAGGGCCAGCCTGCAGGCTAATTGTCATGAGTCTTTGATCTTAATAATTGTCACCTAATATACCTTCTCTTTATTTTATTTTTTAAAATATATTTTTATTGATTTCAGAGAGGAAGGGAGAGGGAAAGATAGAAACATCAGTGATGAGAGAGAATCATTGATCGGCTGCCTCCTGCACGCCCCGCACTGGGGATCAAGCCCGCAACCTGGGCATGTGCTCTGACCTGGAATTGAACCGTGACCTCCTGGTTCCTAGGTCGACCCTCAACCACTGAGCCACACCCGCCGGGTTATACCTTTTCTTTGGAGTTGCAAGACAAATATCTCAGTTGGTCCCACAGGCAGCATTGTGCCTGGCACATACCAACGCAACAAATTCTAAATTGAGTTGGTCCTTATAACCCCACCCCGCCTGAGAATAGTACAGCAGGATTTATCTTCCTTCTTTTCATTTGTGACTTCTGCCTAAGGCCCTGCAGCAAGAACCTGGCAGGCTGATGGGGCCAACTCCAGCCGCCTGCTTCCCAAAGTGAGTTGATGAGATGTTGCCGTGGCTGCGGATCTTTCACTCGGTATTTCGTGCTCCCGACGGCACAGGCCCCCAGAGCTTTAGGGCAGCCTTCGCTGGGACCTTTGTGTAGGGATTACTATGACTCAATCAGGCCTGTTCCCCCCCTTTTGCTTAGAAGCTTCTCCTATAAGGAAAACCACCAATGAGTCAAAAAAATCTAAAGTTGCCAAAGGAGAATGAATCAGTCTTTTGATTCTAAGAGCCCCAATTTCCCGGGAAGCTGAGCGTTTTGGAGCAATGAGTCTTTCCTTTTCAGAAAGACACTCATTGGGACCCACAAAAGGGAGGCCGCCCCTGTGGCCTGGCCCACGTCACAAATCTAAACCTAAGTCAGCCTGCACTTACGGGAAACGCCTCATTGTTGAGGAAACCTAGCATACCCCCATCATAATCCTCCAACTCAGCGTTAACTAGCTCACCTTACCCCAGAGAACAGGACCTGCTCGCCCTATAAGGAAATCCCCACCTCCTAGCCAACATGCCCTGT